TGCGAGAGAGAGCTGTGTCGTCGCTGATTCAGATCAACCGTGTCGAGGAAACTAGACCATTGAGGCGGTACACGACGAGCATTGGGCTGCGTGCCCACTACCGTGTGGAGGACGATCCAATCTTACGCTACACTGCCATCACAAGGCCGAGTGGAACGGGCGGTGGAAATGAAAGCGGTGAGAAGTACGGGCTGCAGATAGGCAATGTGGCCGATGAAGAGGTGGCGGAGTTCGTGTTGAGACTGGTGGTTGGTCGTCTTGGCGACTCGGAGCAGGTGTTCCATGCGCTGAAGACCGAGCTCGGCTTCTCCCAGGCGTACACGGCGTACTGTGAGTTGAAGAAGCTGCACGATTCGAGGCAGCGAGCAAGCACCAGATTGGATCGAATGGAGAAGCTGCGTGGAGATGGAGATAATGCGAAGGATCCGGACGTCGCAGCTATTGTGAACTTGCTGGAGCAGTCGTCGTTGTCGAAATCCAGCCGCGCGAAAGCCTTGAGCAGGCGCTTACAGCCGCCGATCTGCAATCTCGAGTCAAGCATTGTGGACAGTCTCGTGGACGGCGCGACGGCTGGTATGGTGACGTTGGGTTTGCGTGGTACAGATTCGTACCATGAGCTGGTGGACGTGTATCATGGCTCGTTCTGCCGGATGTGTTACAGATACGCTTGCCACGAGCACGGTGGTGACCACCCGCTGCCGGCCAGGCGAGTGGATCCCGTGTACCCTCGTGTCCAAGTGACGACATGCGCTGCCGCGCCTTTTGATTGTAGTGGAGCGGCTTCGTCGGACGAGGACGTGATTTGTCTCGACGACGAGATAACCGGGGATGCAAGACACTTGAATACTGCAGCGAGAGTTCGTGACGGTTCGAACTGTAAGGCAGCTGGGTCAATTACGAGTAAGGTGAAGGTCGGTGTGGAGAGTGATGTGGATATGAGCGACGGTGGTAGTGAACCTCAGCAACTACGACGACGCCAGCACAAGACGATGGCTGACCCGTCCGAGTACGTCGATGCGTCGCATGTTTCACTGGTGGCGGAGAAGATGCACTCGTTTCTATCTGCGGGCAGTGCATGTGGGAAGCAATGTTGGAAGAATGATGATCCCATGAATGTGTGCGCCCAGCGACCCACACTGGCAGCAGCAGAGCTTGGAGTTATTCGAAAGCTTCGACAGACGATGGGTGACAACTCGTGCTTGCTGTCGGCCATCATCGGCTCTGCCTCTTGCGTGGAGGTGCACGAGTTGATCAAGAAGGAACAGACTAACGATGAACATGGAGGCGTGGCAGATGGTACTGGGAGATCGGGCCGTCGGGTGCGTAACTGGAAGCAGGGGCGGAGATCAGGCGGAAGCAATCACGAGCTGCTTCAGCGTACACGCAACCAGCGCTTGCAGGATCGGGGCACAGAGAACCACGAGTACCAGGCGTGCATGCACGAGGGCATGTGCGACTCGACGGGCTGCTCGTGCATGAAACGCGATCACATGTGCGAGAAGGCGTGCGCTTGCTCTCGCGATTGTCCGAATAGGTGCGTGAGGCGAGACGAAAGACAGATGAAGCAGTTGAACGTGCTCCGCTTGATCATTGGAGCGTACTTGCTAACCAAACGGAAAGAGGGTCACTTGACTGACTATTGTTTACTGCGGTGTGTTACGCTTGGCAGGTTTGAAGGTTGCTCGTGTTCGCCCGGCGAATGTCGTACCAGCAAGTGTCCGTGTTTTGCAGCACTGCGCGAGTGTGACCCTGATGTTTGTGTATCGTGCGGGGCGAGCGAGATGGCTGTATTAGTGACAACTAATACCGACAGGTGTGCGAGCTCGATGTGTGGCAATATCAATGTGATCCGTAGCAAGCACAAACGGCTGAGCATGGGGCTTTCCTCGATCCACGGTTACGGAATGTTTGCGCGTGAGACCATCTCAGCTACTGAATTTGTATACGAGTACACCGGCGCCATGCTGTCGCAGGACGAGGCAGAGCGCCGCGGTCTGATATATGACAAGATGGAAATGAGCTACTTATTTGATTTGAACGAAGACGCCGTGCTGGATGCGCTTCGCTGCGGCAACAAGAGCAAGTTCATCAACCATGACGGCGTAACGCCCAACTGCACGGCGAAGGTGGTGAGCGTATGTGGTGTACACCACATCACCATCTGGGCATTGCGCGACATCTCAGTTGGTGAGGAGCTGATGTTCGACTACGGCTACAAGCGAAGTGTCGGTCCAGATTGGAGTCAGCGTCGAGCGGCATCGAAGGATTCCAGATAAGGTATGTGTGTGTCCAGATGAAATCCGACTCCAGCTCGACGTCAATCTGTGTTCCTGTATGTGGTACGTGAGTGTATATTAATTAGACTACATACCCCCATCAGCACCTTTTTTTAGTGGTATTACTGACATATTGGTGATGTTGACTGCCTTGGACCAGGTACTCCAGAACCTTCACAAATACACACGAAGATACACTGTTTCCTTCAGTTCTCCAGAAGTGCGAATGCGGGTTATGTTGCTCATTTTTTTTTTACTGTACTACACTAACTGTACTGCGCTAACTATGTACTGTGCATACGTTTATAGATGCTGGCGGATATTTCTTCCAAAAATGTTTATCTTCGAATTCAGCGAGGGTGGCATATGAAATTTATGGAACATGTGACAGTTGAGTGACACGTTTGCGTTTCAGGAAAGTGAATGCGGGTTATGTTAATCATCTGTTTACTGTACTACACTTAGTTGCACGGTACTGATTATGTGATGTGCTTACGCTTTTAGATGCTGACGGATATATCATCCTGAATGGTTTTTCTTAGCCATAATGCAACGAAGGTGGCATGTGATAATTGAGTGGCATGGCTATGAATAATTATGTTA